AAAATTACAAGGAATTAATTTCTTTTCTTCAAACTAATGAAATATTGTACAGATGGGCGGTTCCGGAAGGTGTCATCTTTAAGATCAATGATAGAAGGGAGAAGATAGACTCCACTTTTAAAGCTAAAGAATTTTTGAAACGTCAGCTGGGGACAGATGATGAGTCTAAAGAGGGAGAATCGAAGTCGAGTGACTCTGCTACCTCGGGAACGGAAGAGGATTCTGCGGCAGAAAAGGGTGCAGGACCTGCCAGAGTGGTATACGATTTTAGAGACAGCCGAAGTAAAGGCAGAAGGACTTGGGAAATGGCCTTTTGAAGCAAAGAATAGGAAGATGATCAGAGACTTCTCTCATAACAACTAACAAAATAACATACAAGAAGCGAATTGTTATAAGCAAGAACTCAACAAGTATATTGTGATAATAAAACTAATGGTACTAACATATTTAATAACAGTGAAAAGATCTCCTTCTCTTGCGGTTTTAGTCTAGTGTGGTTTGCTTTTCTTTATCCCTAGTTGTAGTCCCTCCCCTATATTTCTTTGTAGTTTGTAGTATATGCAAAATAAAAAATAAAAAAATAAAAAACATTTCGTCTCCTAACATGGGACAAAAGATGTCCACATCAGCCATTAGCACGGCAATCAAGACATGCATTGCAGAGGCCTATAAGGCACAAGACTTGGACATACCACGAGGTGTAACAGCACACTCTATGCAGAGTACCGCGACCAATGCAGCCTTTCTCAAGAACGCTTCAGTGGAAGAGGTCTGTAAACCCACGACGTGGTTGTCCCTTTCTACCTTAGTCAAACATTACAACTTAAATCTATATGCATCGGCATATGCAGCCTTTGGCAAACGAGTGTTGCAGCATGTGATTCCAGACGAAGACTATGACCCACCCAGACCGTGAGCACTGCTTTGGGAGTGCCCAAAGATGTCCTCTGCCTCAGAGGGAGAATGACCCTTGGACACTTACCATGAGGGGTCCTTCTCCTCTGAGGAAAAGAGGACATCTTGCCCTCCCTACGTCTTCGTTTCTCTATTTCTGTTTCCTATCCTGCTGCAATCTTTCTGCCTGTTTTTTCTAGTTATTATGTTCCATTCTTATGACATTGGTTTGCCTCTCTTGTTCTCATTTCTGAGTTCTTACAGTTGTTAGGAAAGTTTTCTTACTGTTTACTGCTGTGCGGAGACACCCGAACTGAAGATAGGGGGTGTCCCGCACGCCAGACAGGAAGAGTTTTAGTTCCTGCCTCCATGATTGGACGGTGAGAAACACCCAAAGATGTCCTCCTTTCCTCAGAGGAGAAGGACCTCTCACAGTAAGTGTCCAAGGGTCGTTTCATTTCTTCTGCCCCTGGTCAGACCACTGCTTAGGTCATCTGGTTCTTATTGGTCAAAGGAATTGGCTATTTGTCAGCATTTAGCATCCTTATTGGCCTTTAGCCTGAGGTCACAAGGATCCCTTTGCCCATAAGAAGCAGGTTTCTGTTTATTCTCTAGCTTGATGCTGACTGCTTGAGATTCTGACATGCAGTCAATTTCATGCTCACAGTGGCCATCTTGAATGTTCCTTGTGAGAGTCAGACAGCTTTCTGGTTATACTGACTCTCAGAAGAGAGTCATTTTGGATTACTGGAACTTCAACTGAGAATGATAACCTCTGATATTTGGAACCTCTGTATTACTGTTTTAGTTAGCATTTGAATTACTAGGTTTCTTATTTTTATCCTCACAGTTTCCTGTTTTTTTGGAAATATTCTTGCACCTTAATAAAATATATATTTTAATTACTTTTTTTTGTTTCAACTCACCTCAGTCTAAGTCCAGAGCCTAGTCTGGCTGACTACCTACCAGAGTAACTTGTTTCTGTGAGAAACTCACTCTGCAAGACTACCTTGCAGGGACGACATTCTTGTTTAGTCCTGGGAAGGTTGGGAATCTGCCCTTTGGTTTCTAACTGTGGGAATAGTCCAAAGGACTGGTGGCGGACTACTGAGCTGCTGTGTGAGGATCACATCCCAGAATTTTGTAATTTTGTATTTTGCAGCCCTTATCCCAAAGAGTCCCCCCCCCCAATATGTAAGAGTTTAGGAAATCTGTTTCAACAAATCTGAATTAGTGTACCTACTAAGTCTCTCAGTTCTCGCTTGTACCCAGAACTTAATTTTATTTGTCTTGCAGGTGCCACTGGCCTCAAACCTAATTCCCACATCTGTTTGTTAACTCTTATATTTGTATGCTAATTTACTGCCATTCACAGATCTTTCATACATCCTATCTCAGCTATAATCACCCAGTACTTATGCATCTTGACTCTAAATAGCTCTTCCTGACTACAACCTCCACCCCTTATAAGTAATGGTTGAGGGGGTTCTGTTCCACTGTATCTGAAGAAATGTGCTTGCACACGAAAGCTTATACCATGAATAAAACCTTGTTGGTCTTAAAGGTGCCACTGGACTCAAACGTTATTCTGCTACTTCAGACTATCATGGCTACCCCACCAGAAAGAAGCCTTAGTCACACATCCCCAGTTATGAGTCCAGGACTTTCTAGTCTTTAAGCTTTATGAGTTCTTAATCAAAATAGCTAGAAGTAACCACAACTTTAGCTGTAGCTATAACAGCTTCCTGTCAATTGACAGCAGTTAATGGAATGCCAGACACTGTGAGTTTAGACAATGGCAGTGGCTTCACCTCAGGAAAAATTCCACAACTTTGCCAGCTAAAACTTCATTCAAATTATCACCATTGCACCTCATAGATCTAGTCTAGTGGCCAAGCTGAGCTATCGGCACAAATTACAAACATGCACTAAAGCAAATTGTTGTCAGAGATAGATAGGGTAACAAAATTGGCAGGATTCCTGCTCAAAATGTTGCTTGTTGCATTACAACAGGATCCAGCACAGCTGAGCTTCTTATGGACCATCATCTCAAGATAAGCGCAGACCATGTTAAACCTGATCTTGGAAGGGCTTGCAACTCAAGAAAGGGCAAGTGATATACTTTAGCTCAAAGCCATGGAGCCAGAACATAGTGAGAGTCACTGAACCCATCTCATATGCCATCCATACTGCTGACGCTCAGATCCAGAGATATCATATTCATCAGCTGAGTATCTGTTC